CTTGAGGGACGTGACCTTGCTTTTAGTCAAGGGCCCTGGGTCATCCTTCTTGGCTGTTGGGGAGGTGAGGTCATCTGGGGCAGGTGGCTTGGGACCTTGTGGTCCAGGCCAAGCTGTCCAGTTGGCCGTTATCTCTGACTCTGGGGCTAGGCTGGAGGAGGGTAGACTACAGGGAGAAATGTATCCAGTTCTTTCTCTGCTCTCTAATAAAAGCCTGGAGGACAAACCCTCACTGTTGGTTGCTGATAAGCTTTTATAAAGTGCACAGCAGAGGGCCCAGGAGCTTCGCAAGTCTCTCTGGAGGGCGTGGTCCCTTTCTGATCATACTTGAGGAAGAGTCTTGATTTGTTACTGTGTATGTATGAGACCAAGTGGGCTCTAGAAGCAGATAGCATGGAGTTTTTTCTTTCTTCCCCTTTGGAGACAAGGTCTTGCTAACCACAAGCCAGACTGGCCAAGAACTCACGGTCCTGCTGCTTCAGCCTTTCAGGGGCCAAGTGCCAAGTGCGTGCCACTGTTACTAAGAACTTGAGAATGTGGGGCAGGAGGATTGCCGTGAGTCCAAGCTCAGTCTGGGTTACATAGTGAGTTTCCATCCAGTGTGGGTTACAGAGTGAGGCCATCTCAACAAACCAAAAGCAACACATACACAAAAAAAGGAGAAAGGAACGTATGTTTGCTGGAAGTTCCCAGAGCCATCTCGTGCCCCCTTCCAGACACCATTGGCTCCTCTGTCCACTGACATGATGGCCCAGAGGTTGGGATAGTTGACACCATCTCTGCCTTTCTGAAAACAGGCTTGTGCAGGTGTTGTCACACATTGCCATTTGCTTCTATTTTTTTTTATTAATTTTTTTAAACTAATGTTTTTTGTTTTAAGACTTATCTATTCTGCCTCCAGGCCAGAAGAGGGCACCAGATCTCATTTTAGATGGTTGTGAGCCACCATGTGGTTGCTGGGAATTGAACCCAGGACCTCTGGAAGAGCAGCCAGTGCTCTTAACCGCTGAGCGTCCCTCCAGCCCCTGCCCATTTGCTTCTTGATGAATCTTTGTGCGGTGTCCTGGTTGGGGCTTGGGTAGGTTAGATCCTCTAAAACAAAACAGCAGTTCTCACCTGTAGTTTGGGGGGTCTAATGACCCTTTCACGGGGTCACCTAATGCCGTCTGCATATCAGATATTTACGTTATGATTCATAACAGTAGCAAACTTGAAGTTATGAGATAGCAACAAAAATAATTCTGTGGTTGGGGGGGAGGAACTGCATTAAAGAGTAGCAGCATCAGGAAGGTTGAGAACCACTGCCCAGGAGATGCCCCTGACCTCGCAGGACGCGGGACCCACTCCACTGTAATACTTGAGAGCGTGTGGCCTTACAGGGTGAGAGGGACATTGTAGATGTTAGAAGGGCTTTTCCGTGGGGCAAATCGTCTTGAGTTATTCCAGAGGGACCAGTGTAGCCCCAGTGACAGAGGGAAGTCGTGGGAAGGCAGTGTCCAGGATTGGTACGTGGCACCCAGAGCTGAGGGAGTAGTGGGGTCTGAGGCCTCATTGTTGGCTCTGTAGATGGAGGAGGAGACTTAGCTAAGGGCGCAGAGCAGCCTCTGGGAGCCAGGACATTCCAGAGGGAGCCATCTCCTCTAGTGCTCCTGGGAGGAGGGCAGTCCTGTTGGCCCGTGTTAACGGATGCATTTGTTATTGAGATTGTGCAGCAACTGCAATGGCAAATTAGTGCTGCTGAAAGAAGGTTCTAGAGCACATCTCGTACTGCGTATGTGCAGTGACTAGACGTTGCCACAGTCTCCCGGGATGCTCCAAGAGCGACGACATGAGCTGCTTTGCATTCTCACCAGCACTCTGTGCCCTCCGGGAGTAGACATTTTTAAGTGTTCAAAACAGCAGGACGGCATGGCCAGTGGACACATTGGAACTGTATGTACAGGAGGCCAGTGCTCAAAAAAAAATGCCAGTAAGTTATGATTGTAGCCAGCTGGGGAGAGGAATGAGGGTGTGGTCATGCCAGTCTCTACCCCGAGAATGAGAGTTCTTCCAGGGAAGGGGCTGGGCTGGCTGGTGATGGACTCAGACTTTTCCAGCTGAAGAGTTGGAACAATACTGACCGAGGCGAGCGGGGGTGGGGGGGTGGGGGGGAGAGCTGCTCAGGATGAGAAGTGCGGTCACCTGAGCGCGCTGTGCCCAGGAGCAGGTCTCAGCCTCCTGGAGCTCTGCATGTACCCTCTGTCTGTGGTCCTGGCTCCCCTGGGGGCTGGGGTGGGTTCCTGTGAGACCCAAGGTTCCTGCCTCAAACAGGCAAAGTCAGGCAGCGGTGGCTGCGTTCATTACCAACCAGGGCATGAAGTGACGTGATGTAAGTTCCTTTTACAGGAATTGGTAATCCTGGGGCCTGTCTGTTCATCCATCCATCCATCCATCCATCCATCCATCCATCCATCCATCCATGATCAAGTTATGCAATGCATGTAATACAGTGCGAGGATTGCAGACTCCTAAGGCCACGTGCCTGCTCATTATTTGTAATTTATTACCTGTGGTCTGGGTGACCATTTCTAAGTCTTCCTTATGACCAACACGTTTCTTAGGTTTTTTTTGGGGGGGGGACAGGGGTGCTCATCTCGTGGGTACTGAGTATACCCTCTACCACCGAGCACCAGCTTCCCGATTCCTAGGGTGAGGCAGTAGCAGCGCCTCCCCACTAGGGCTGGCGTGAGAATTCCTTGGCATCCTCCTCCATCCCAGAGCCTGGCCCTTGACACCGCTCAGTGCTGGGCCCGGCTCTGATCCACCGCCCTCAGGTACACGCCGAAGCGTGATGGCTTTCCAGGTGGCTTGCAGGCGTATACTTGTAATATGGACGCTTGCGATGTGAGGACCAGAGGTTCAGAAGTTCATGTCTCTGTGAGCGGCACAGTGAGTTAGAAGCCAGCTTGGGCTACGTGAGACCCTCAAAGCGACGGGACGCTTGCTTTGTGCAGTCCTGGGTCAGGACAGCCGCTCCTCCTAGGTTGTCCCCTCCCTGGGGATGAGGGATGGGGGTCCGTGCTACGGTGACTGGCTGCGCTGAGGTTGGGATGCAGCGATCTTGGCTTCCCGGCTGGCGGGAGGTGGGCTGAGACAGTCCTCGCCACGGAGTGACGTCACCACACATGCGTCACCACACATGCGCTGATGATGCGTCCCTCCTGCTTTACAGCTGCGCTTCTCTTCTTCTGCCTCTCCTTTCCTAGGATCCGAGTCTTTATTGGCTCCCTATTCCTGCCCCCACCCCCCATAATACACGAACGGCAGCTGATGAAGTTAGCTCTGATGGAAGCCAGATCAGTCGCCCTAGACAGGGACCCAGATGCTAAAAATATCTCATAGCTTGGTCTCTGCACGTTAAATGAAAGAGCAGCGTCGGAGGCAGGGACTGGAGAATCTCGCTAACACTGGCTCGGTCCCATTTCTCTGGGTGGTGGTGGTGGGGTGGCCAGGCATCCTAGGAATCTGGTCCTTCTCACCTAGATCAGAATTAACGGGGTAGCGTTTAAGCCTGGGAGAAGGCCAGGCCCACGTGGAGCAGATGGGGGACGATAGGCCAGAGACACTGCCCAGCAGGCCTTTGAGGCTCAGCCGTCGTCCAGGCGGTTGGAGCAGCAATGCTTGGCATACGCATAGCAGCCCCCTAACCAGCCGTGGTGGCTGGAATCACCCTCGAGCCCTGTCTAGGGGTGGAGGTTACGTGTTCTCGCTAAGAATGACTTCCTAGAGTGGAAACTGGCTGTGTAACACCATGTGAAGTAGCCGCGTGGGGTCTGGGGGCACGCCTATGAAGAGAGTCTACTCTGTGATGTTACTCCAGGCTTCTCGGTGAGGAATGCAACAGCCACCTCCGCGCTGGGAACCTAGGAGTGTGGCGCATGCTCCCTGCGGGGCCGATGCTCCCACAGTGAAGAGGAGCAGGGACCCTGCTGAGCGAGCATCCTGGGTATTCTCTTTCGCTCCCCCTTGGCTCTTCCTTTCTCTGCTCCAAGCCTGGGTTACTCCTGAGTACTTACTTCTACTTGGGTCTTAGATGTGGCCTCGTGCGCGTTTAGGGGGCCTGTCCTATTCTGAGGAGTCATTTTCTGATACCCTCAGGTGTCGTTTATGCTTCTCATCCTGTACCAGGGGCCCTGCTCAAGAGTCTCACAGAATACACCGCGGGGGGATGCCTGGGAAATTAGTGCCTGGGAACTCGGATACATTATCCCTCTTCAGAAACCAGGATGTTTCAGGGTTTTTTTTCCCCAGATGGTGGAATATCTGCATATCTATAATGGAGATATCTTGGAGAGGGGACTCAAGTCTAAACATAGGATTTATCTTTCATATATACCTTATGCTCATAGCTCCATATTAGCTTTATACAGTATTTTAAACTAATTTTGGGAATAAGATAATGTTTTCTGGTCTGGAATTGTTTAATTGTGGGATCTTGTTGGGGCTCAGAAAGTTTCAGATTTTGGACATTTTGGATGTTTTGATTTAGGGATGCTGAACCTGTGTTTGTGGAAGAAAGGAGGATAATTTGGGGGATGCTGGGTAGCCTTTGGCATATTCTAATGTGGCCCTCTTGGTGTGTTTATAACTGAAATACACCACTTATTTGTATGTATAAATGACGGCCATTTTGCTTATTTAATTTTTTAAAGTAAGTATGAATATATACATATACATACATTTATGTGTGTATGTATATATATATATATATATATATATATATATATATGAATTTTGGTTTGGTTTGGTTTAGTGTTTTGTTTTTCAAGACAGAGTTTCTCTGTGTAGCCTTGGCTGTCCTGGAACTTACTCTGTAGACCAAGCTGGCCTCAAACTCAGAGACCCACCTGCCTCTGCCTCCAGAGTGCTGGGTTTAAAGGCGTGTGCCACCATGACCTTTTTATATGTGTGTGGTATTGTGCTTCATTCTAATCCATTCCCTTGGTCATTTTGTTTTTTAGGAAATAAAATCAGGGCCTGGAACGCCGAGTCTACGGAGAATTTCACAGTAATGAATGAGTGCACTTATGGAGGGATGGAAGAAAACAAGGACAGGTAACAATTAAGGAAAAAGGTGTCATGCAATGATTCAGCCTGCCAAATTCCTTCATGCCTGTATGTGTTGGTAGAAACCCTGGAGAATCCAGAAGCTACAAGGAGCTAGTGAGGAGCTTGGTGGCAGAGTGTTCTCCCAACATGCGCCAGGCTCTGTGTTTGATTCTCTGCCCACCAAACACATGTCTCCTTTTACATGTCCAGTTTCTTACACCAGAGGAGAGAAACCACTGTGAAATAGGAAGAAATGTTCCTGAGCTCCAGAAGAATTGTGATCAATAGAAATGATGTAGTGTAAAATTAAGCGTCTCACCCACAAACACAGGGCCAGAACACGTGTTTGTGAGAGGTTGGTCTCTCAAGGGCAAGCAGGGATGGACCCCGAACTCTCTGGTGCCATTTCTTCCTCCCTCTTTTACTTAATCTTTTTTAAAAAATTTATTTTTAAATTTAATTTAAATTATAAACAAGGTTGCTTCACATGTCAATCCCAGGTCCCTCTCCCTTTCCCTCCCCTCCTCCCATACCCTTCCACCAACCCCCCAGTACCCCCTCCTATCCCTAGGGAGGGCGAGGTCCTCCATGGGGGTGTCCATAGTCTGTCATTTCATCCAGGGCAGCACCTAGACCCTCTCCCAAGAGTTCAGGGTGAGAATGCATCTCTCATTGTTGGATGGGCACCCAAATTCCATTTGTATACCTGGGATAAATACTGATCTACTACCCAAGGCCCAATAGATTACCTAGGCCTCCTCACTGACACCCACATTCAGGGGGTCTTTTTTTTTTTTTTTTTTCGAGACAGGGTTTCTCTGTGGCTTTGGAGGCTGTCCTGGAACTAGCTCTTGTAGACCAGGCTGGCCTCAAACTCACAGAGATCCACCTGCCTCTGCCTCCCAAGTGCTGGGATTAAAGGCGTGCGCCACCAACGCCCGGCCATTCAGGGGGTCTTGACCAGTCCCATGCTGAATTCCCAGTCATAAGTCTGAGAATCAAGAGCTACCCTTTGTTCAGGTCAACTGTTTCTGGGGGGTTAAACCAGCCCAGTCTTAACCCCTTTGCTCATCTGTTAGGTAAAGCCTTTTCCTTGCTAGCCGCTTTGGTTTTTCCCCGCCTGCCACTTGGACTCTGCCACAGTTGTAGTCCCCAAATAAACACACAGGAGGCTATATTACTTATGAAGCGGTTGGCAGTTTGCTTGGATTCTTACTGGCTATCTCTGACTTAAGTATTTACTCCATAATTGTTAATCTAAGTATTTCTCTTACCGGAGAAAGGGTCCAGACTTCTTACCCCTATTGTGGCTACATTGTGGTTCCCTGTGTTTCTCCTTCCCAGAATCCTCCTCGACTTCTAGTTCCACCTATCTTGCTTCCCTATTGGCCAACAGTGCTTTATTCAACAACCAATAAGAGACAGATTTCAGAATGACATCTCCCATCACTCATCAGTCCTCCCTGTCTGTCACTGGGTTCCTTGAGTTCAGCTCAGTGTCTGTCTGTGGGAGTCTGCCTCTGCTTCTGTCAGCCATTGGATGAAGGTTCTGTTTCCCAGACTCTCTAGCTTAATATTTTTTTAAGAACAGCTTTTTAGTTTTAGCAATTAAATTTTTTAAAATTCTCAGTCCTGAATTCATTCCTGTTCCTCCCTATGATCTATGCAGTCTGTGTTTATGCTTTACATAATATGACCATTTCCTTCCAGAACTTTCTTTGGCTGTCAAACTATATAGAAGGAAGGCTATTCTTTTATTTCTTCTCCTTTGTTGTTGTTGTTGGTGGTGTGTGTATGTGTGTATGTATGTGTATGTGTGTTTATATGTATGTGTGTGTGTGTATTTTGTATGTATGCGTGTATGTGTGTATGTGTGTATGTATGTGTGTGTGTATGTGTGTATGTATGTGTGTGTGTGTATGTATGTATATTGTGTATGTGTGTATGTATGTATGTGTATTGTGTATGTATGCGTGTATGTGTGTATGTGTGTATGCATGTATGTGTATTGTGTATATATGTGTGTGTATGCATGTGTGTGTATTGTATATGTATGCATGAATGTGTGTGTATGTGTGTATGCATGTATGTGTATTGTGTATGTATGTATGTATGTGTGTGTGTGTGTATGTATGTATGTATGTATGTATGTATGTATGTATGTATGTGTGTGTGTGGAGGCCAGAGACTGAAGTCAGATGTCTTCTTTGATCTTTCTTTGCTTTATTTACTGAGGCGGGGTCTCTCATTTGAACCTAGGCCTTGTAGGTTCACCAAGTCTCTCTAGCCAGTTTGCTCCAGGAAATCCTGTCTCAGCCTCCCATGTATAGAGATTATAGGTGGGCCACCATGCCTACTTGGCATATATCTGGATTCTGGGGAATCCAAACTCTCGTCCTCACATTTGGGCAGCAAACTGTTTAACCCATGGATCCATCTCTCCAGTCCCCCCATTTCTGCTTATTTATTTATTTATTTATTTATTTATTTATTTATTTATTCATTCATTCATTCATTTACTTACTTACTTACTGAGACAGGGTTTCTCTGTTTAGGTTTGCAGACCAGGTTGGCCTCAAACTCACAGAGATCCACCTGCCTCTGCCTCCTGAGTGCTGGGATTAAAGGCGTGCGCCACCACTACCCACCCATTTCTGCTTTTTAGAATGCATGTTGTGCTGGCTGGCACATTTTATAACCCTTTGAAACATTTAGTGATGCACCCTGTGATGTTTTTGAGGCAGCCCGTGCGGGTCTCTGTGGTTTCCACACACAGCAAGCATGAGGGGTTTTTGTCTCACTGATTGCTGAGCCAGCTCGAGGCGGCTGGACTGGCTCTAGGTTTCGTTGTGGTGTGTGCTGCGGTATCTTCCCTTGGGCACACAGGCTAACGGTTCTCTGTGATGGCTATGGGGAAGAACTGCTGGATCACCCGCATACACACTTAAGGCTCTAACCAACACGATCTGCTCACTGGAAGCGCAGTTGGGCTTGTCAGCTGGGTACCAGGGCTCCCGTTTGCCCTGCAAACCTCGGGTCTGTCCCTTAGTTTTTGCAGTCTGCAGGGTGAGCAGCATGCCTCTGAGGAGTTGTCACTTCTCCTTCCTCTGGGGAGGTTCGTCTTGGCACTGCTGCCTAGCTTCATCCCGCTGATACCTGTGAGCTTCTGCCCTCAGAGGGAGCCAGCAACCTCCCCGAGACCCAGGCCCACACCCAGCATACCTGGGTAGTCCTAGCCCTCCCTTCCCAGGTGCAGGTACAGCTTTACTTTCCCTTCTGGAAAGCATCCACGCTGCTTGCTGTCCCAGGGTTCCGCTGCTGCTTCCGTGCAGAAGCCCGGCTCTCCTCTGACTCTGAAGGATTTTGAAGCCTAGGGTTAGATTCTGACCTCAGGTTGGGTTTCTCCACCACCCGCCGGGCTGCATCACTGGCAACAGGCTGAATGTTCCACGTGCATCAATCCTCTCTGTGCAATAGTTGGTCTGCGTTTCTGCTCGAATTCGCACGGGCGCTCTGGAAGGAAGGCATAGCACTGCTCTCTGTATTCTGTAGTCATGGGTGACAGATGAGACTTCGTTTAAAAGCAGCCCAAGGAGCACACGGGAAGATCACAACAATCTGGTCTCCTTGTGGGAACTCACCTTCTAACCAGCGCTCTCATGAGATAGCAGATGAGCCCCGCTAGCCCAGTGGTGAGCGCCCCTGGGGGACGTGGCTTTGCAGTCAGTGTACCCTGTTTGCAGTTCCTCAGACACTTGCAGCTTTTGCTCTGCCTCTGTGACTGCCCTCTGAGTGAGCAGGAGTTGAACACGGGGTGGGGGCTGGGGCGTCCCCCGACAGCGGTTGGCTCACGGCCTCTGCATACCTCCAGCACCTCTGCTCTGGGTACTTTTATGATCAAAGGCTTTCGCACTCCGCGCTCGCCCGGCTACTGCGGAAGGATTTCCCAAGCGGAGCGTCCTTGTCCTGGGTCTACTGGGATGCAGTGGGAAGGAGGTGTCCGGCTTGTCCTCGGTAAACCAAACTCAACACTCTGTGCTGAAACGCTTCATTTTAGAGCCCATTCAGAGATGGGGAGGTTCCAGCCAGGGCCGAGGATGTGTCTCGGTAGCACAGCCTTGCCGAGCGCGTGTGAGGGCCACGTTCCACCCCAGGACCCCCGGAACAAATAGGTGGACATACACATGAAAGACGTGCAGGCAGAGGGCAATTTCAAATGCCTCCCCCAAGCTCCCCTTTTTTACATATTTCAAAGACATAGAAGTTTGGGAGGCTGGACAGATGGCTTCATGGTTATAGACACACACTGCTCCTGCGGAGGACCCAAGTCCAGTTCATAGCACTGGCTCTTATCTGTCTGACGTTCTGGTTCTAGAGGATTTGACACCCTCTTCCGCCTTTCCGGGGATCTGCACTCACACTCCTCCCGTAATTAAAAAGATAGATCTTAAAAAAAAAAAAAAAACACTCCGCGTGCAAAGAGGCCCTAGGTCTATCGTATCTCCTTCCTTAATGCAGGTTAAGCACAGCGTCGTCCAAGTTCAATCCGCAGGGGCGTTTGCTGGCCTCAGGTCCCTGGGTTCTGACTGACTGTGGCTGTGTCCACGGCATCACAGCTACCCCTTGTGGGATTGGCTGATCCCAGAAGCCCGATCCCTCTGGTTTCACCACCAGAGCTTATTATCCGGCAGTCCCTCGAGGGGGACTAGCCCGTTGGTTGATGAATTGCTGAGTCATTCCGTGGGCGTTTGCTGTACATTGCTAAGCGCCCTAGAAGCACAAGGCAGGTTCGAAGGGAGGACGGAGAGGTGGGTGGGGCTGAGCAGCAGCCGCAGGCTTGATGAGCGCGGCTCAGGGGAAAGCCTCCATTTTGTTGGTCCGTGGAGAGCGCAATCGTGTATGTCCCTTTTCTAAGTTGGGGTTACCGTTGCTGTGGTGAAACACCGTGACCAAAGAAACTTGTCTTACGCTTCCACAGTGCTGCTGTTCGTCATCAAAGGAAGCCA